CCAATAGTTTTGTTTAAACAGGAATTTACAGAGCTTATACTTTGGCTCCTTCTGTCAAGTTTATTTTTCTTTGCCAATCAACTGTTTACAGGTGTTACCCTGCAATGCATCCCTGATCCAATGCTGGGCTAGGGTCAAATAATGAAGGGGTTAAATTGTAAGGCAGCAACAAAGGCAGTGTTTTCTAAATCAAATTTGAAATTTTGAGTCTCTCTGCAGGTCAACTTGCATGGCAGAGGTCTATAATTGTCAGTCAACTTCCCAGTAACTCACACCTCCTCTTTAATGCCATTCAGAGGATATAAAATACCACCTTAAAAAATACTTTAGCTGAATTAGTCAAATTGTGAATATCCCTGAGGATAATTGATGAAGTGATGTTGTATTTTGCTTATCCTCTGAATAGTATTCAGATGAGGTGTGAGCCCTTGGCTTTCTGAAATTAAAAAGGTTAAGGATTTTGAAAGTGAAAACCTTGAAATGACTTCCATGTGAATTGAAACAGAAATGCTCCCTGACTGTCTTTCTAAAGAATTAGCACACATTCAAATTCCTTCCAGACAAGAAACAAATCTGCAAAGAATAAATGAAAAAAATAATATGCAAAAACAAGTGAAAAAAACAAGTGTTAAAGGTGTTGCTATTTCATTTGTTGCTGTCCAAGTTATTGTCCATTAACCTTTTTGACTCATTATTTGCACAATAAAGGTCAGATCCAGTTTTTTTTTGGTCTGCAGTTGTTTTCTGTGCTCCACATGGTGAAGCTTAATAATTTTCTGTGTATTGAATTCTCCATTGAGGGACTTTTTCCTACTTTTTTTTGGAAAAACGTGATGAGAAAAATGTGTTCCAACCATAAATATATTCCAACATCTGAACACCGTCTGGGAAAGAATTGCTATCCCACCTTTTTTTCTGTGGGCTTATGAATCAATTCAGAATATCTGTAAAGATTTATACAAAATAAAAATATAGAAGGTGAAATAAATCATAAGCTGGCAGAAGGCAAGAAGTGCAATAAAGTAATCACAAATCTTACCAGCAGACCAATAAAATAATCACAGCCAGGATTTCTCTCCCCTCAGCATCCTGTTGTTGCCATCTTGACACTGATCCAATTATGCCCAGCTCAAAAGTAATGAGAAAAAAAGCAAAACAAAAAGAAATGCAACAACAGAAAAGAGGTCCATGTCGATGGGGTTGACAGGAAACTAATTCCTCAAAGTGGCTCCAGCAGAAGAACCCTTTTCTTTACTTCCATCTCTGACAACATATAGGCAACAAAAAAAAAGGAGGAAGGGGTTTTGGTAAATTGACAGTTGGAAGAAAAGTCTCTTTATAATCATATTTTTTTATTTGCTACTGAGAAGTGAGTTTCTTTTTTTTTTAACCCAAAAAGGAACAAAGTTCTTTGCTCATCAAAAGATTTCAAATTTCTTCCTCATTCAACCCAGAAAAAGAAACTATGCCATCACATGTTTTACTTGTTCCTGTAAAATAAATAAACATGAAATTCTTTGATTTCACAAGGAACAAAGAAAATTCCAAGTCATGTTTTTGGCTTCTTCATTTTTTGTCCACTTTTTGAAAAAATTGATAAACCTTTAAAAAATGTCATGCTTTTCCTGGTGCCAGAAAAAAACCTTTCTGGTGCTTCTTTGCATGAGTCATTTATGGTATTTAATGTGTGCATGTGCGCGTGATTTCTTCTGATTTTTTTGTGTGTGGTTATTCTTGAAATCATGAGGATGATGAATTAATGATTTTTGTTGGATCCGGATGTTGGCACAGGTGCGATTGTTTCTTGGAAACCGTAACGAATTCACTTTTCAAACACGGGATTCGAAGAGTCATCAAACATGGGGTTCGAATCTATTTCTTTTAATTCATTCCCTTTTTTTGGTTTGTGTTCTCTGAAAAACGAAGAAAAAAAACAAGTGCTCAGGGGCTCGTTTGAAAGTTCTTATCAATCCCGTCGCATGCATTCGAATTATTCCAAAAAATAACCCTGAGGAACCAGTTTTTTCTTTCTTTAAATGAATGAATTACAAATTTTGCGCAGATATATTTCTTTAAAAAACTTGAAATCTTTAAAAAACCAATCACTCGATAATTTTCAAAAAAATTGACATCAACATAGGATTTTTTCGTCGATTTCAATCTATATAGTTTATATGAACGAATAATTGACGAAAAAATACCTTATTTCGTGAGAAAATTCTAGTCAATTTTCGAATTTCAATAATTTGAGCAGCTTTCGCCGAATAATTTTCTTTTACAAATTCCGATTGTTAATAAAAGATGCTGAAAAAGAGAAAAACATGAAAATTTCAAACAAAATAATTTTTTTTAGCAATTGCTCCGAAAAAAATTCGGAAAAATTGTTAAACGCAAAAACAAAATTCAAGTACAGTAAAATACGCTTCACAAAATCACATGCAAGTAATTTAAGCCAACAAATTTGGATTAAATTCAGCAGCAGTCCGGAATTTCGTCTCATACACAAAAAATAATTCAACTGATGCGTGGTTTATAAAATGTTAAATTTTTATGAGAATGTTTAAAATGAAAACATCCTCGTGAATAAATTCAAAACAACCTCAACCTAAAAAAAATTCGAGACATTCAAAATATGAAAGTTTCGGCACTTAGAAAATTTAAAAACTTTCGTTCATCATCCCGTGACTTATTGTGCACATCTTTGATTCGAACAAATGCAAATTGACAAAAACAAAGAATATATGAAAAAACCTTTTTTTCGGTTGTGTTTCTCTTGTGCCAACAGAATCGATCAGCAAACATTTATTTCTTCGTCAAAAGGGGCTGGGGACGAAGGGCAAAATAAGCTGCGCAAAAATCCCAGATCGAACTTTCGGCACAATGGATCCATTCGCCACGCTTTTCTCGACCAGAAATCCATTTCATTTTTTTTTTCACACACAAATTAACACTTTCTTTCTCGTAATTTCAATGAATAAAGTTCACCCCCTTTCAAACTTTTCCCCGGTCAAATAATGTCTCGAAAAGTGTATGTTTGAAGGAACCACTCAAACAGCGACTGACTCGTGAAAGATAAATTTAAAAAACAATCATGAATTTATAATAGGAAAACCCGAGATCAAAGAAGGGTTTTATTCACTGGAAAATTCGCAATTTTTTTCTTATATTCAAATCACACAAAAAAAACACGCTGTCATTTTTTTCCAGCCAAGAAATTGCATAATTCTCATCATGATAACTGTTCAAATAAGAGACCCACAGTTTTTATTTCTGTAATATCCAAGATTTCTGTCAGTTTACAATTATTGACAAATGTTTTGAGGATAAAAATTAACTCGGAATCAAATTCCGCAACAAATATTTCCGTATATTTTATGCGCGACTGGAATTTTTAAATGCTCAAAAATCTCGAGAAAAATCTCATGAAAAATATGATTTTTTCAAGACCAGCAAAAATGGAAAACAGGTGCACAACGAAAATAAACAAAATTACATACAAGAATACTTATGCATTTTCCGTCCATGAAACCCTCAAGGGATTTTCCCCCTGAGATACAATCCTCCTGATGACTTGCTCAATCCACAGAAAACCATTTGTCAAACACAAACACACACAAAACTAGAAAAAGTTTCCAACAACATACAAAAAAAACCTGTGGCAGTTCATCCCTCATCCACTATAATGATCTTTTCTTCGGGGTGATGAGAAAACCTGGTCTTGTTTTATCCAGCGGCAAAAAAAAAAACAACACTTGCAGCGACATCTATTGCAACGTTGGTTCAAGAGATGTTTCAAGCAGCAACCAGATGTCACTGTTCTTCAGCGATGCTTTGGTCCATCATTTCCAATCATTCCGAAAATCAAGCATCGCAAATATTAAAAAGTGGAAAAGCATTTCAATCATCAATCAATTTTTGATTCAATTGCAAAATCGGTTCAAGTCAAATAGATGCGTCAAATTTCTTTTTCTCGTAATTTTGAAACTGTTTAATTTTGAAGATCAGTCGAAAACGTCGTTCCAAATGACCTCGAAAATCATGCGAAATTCATTTTTGCCTTTCAATATGTGCATAAAAAATCCATGTGGTACAATGATAAATAAGTTTTATCCCAAATTATTTTGATAACATTTAATTCTTTCATTATTAAATTGCATCAAGTCTTCGCACGCGTTTTAAAAGAAAACAGCACGATTTTGGCATCAAATCAACATGGCTATTTCTTGCCTGAAATGGGTGAAAAATATTGATGGTGAAAAAGAGCGGCAAGGAAAAAAAGAAAACCGACCAGATATTTTTCTTCAATTTTTGAGCAACAAGTAGTTGACCGGATTTTATTTTGTGCGCGTGGCTGGACGTAACAGATAATATTTTTCAGGACAGGAAAAAAGGGGCCAATTTGAAAGTGTATCACCTTAAAATGGGCACTTGGAATCTTTTGGGAACTCTTCATAAAAATTCCTGGAATTTGGAAGGAAGGACTCATTTTATTCAGGCATTTTGGATATATTTTCTACAAAATTTTAAATTCAGCAGTAAAAAAAAGAAAAGAAATTTTATGATAACAAAACATCTTCATTTTGTTTCGTTGAATGCAATATTGACACCATATTCACTTGAAAACATTTGCCTGTGAGTAAAAGTTTGAGAAACACACTAGAAAAAAATAAAAATACAATTTGATATGAAAAATGCATCCTCTAGCATGAAGGAAATTACATTTCAAAAAAGGTGCATTTAAGGAAAGAACAGTTTGTAGAAATTTTATTTAAGTTTTGAATGAGTGTTTAATTGAAAAAAAAATAATTGAAAGGTTAAATATTTCTACTTAACTTCTGGTTGAATTCAGGATTTTTCCCCTTGAGTGGCTTTGGTCAGGAATATCAAGTAACACATAGAAAGGAAACTTTTGGACCATCCCTTATGTTTGAAAAATGAAGACTGTTTGACTGGCTCAGAGTTATTGGGCAGACTATTTTGGCTTCCAGAATGAAAAACAACCATTTTGAAAGCAGGGGGATCAGGAGGATTTAAAAACAGCAGCAGCAGTAGCAGGAGAAACTCAAAAGCATAAGGAATAAGTTGACTTCAAGTTTTCTGACCAGTGAGCAAATCCATTTCCTTGTTCTTTTCCTTGTTGTTGTTCAAAAGGCATCTTGATAAACATCTTCCCTTGTATATATCTCTTCTACAGAACACAGACAAGAAGAAAACAAGATGGTTCACTGGCTGAAGATCTTCACAGTTGTCATGCTGTTTTGGATGCACTTGGACACAACATGTGGACAGTCTTGCACTGAGGATCCTTGTCTGCCCATTTGCACCAAGTGCCCAACCACTGCATCCACTTCCATTACAACTGTGAGCATTGACCCTCAGGAAGAAAAGATAGTCATTTCCCCATCAATAATCAATCAAAGTAGTTGCTGATGTACAGGCCTAAATCCACAAAAGACAGCTGGCATTTTGCCAATTATTATTCAATTGTGGCAATATTCTAACTGTTCATGGTCCTGTTGCAACAACAGATCATGACTAATACTAATATTGAAAAAAAAAGTATTTTGTGACCCATGCATCTGCATTTATGGTCCTCACTAGTATCATCTGATTGTTTTCTACATGGTTTTATTTTATTTGGCATACATACATGGAAATAAGCCAGTTCACAATGTTAATTCTTCACTCAAAACCAATCATTATGGCTGATATTTTCACAGTTGAACCCTTTCAAATAAAACCTCCAAAGTCAAATAATGTGCATCAAAACCACCACAAAGTATCTCCAAATAACACTCTTTAGCAGAGCAATGCATGTTTTGTAGACATTCCCAACTTGAAATATTGTTGGGTCTAATTGAATGCTTCCAACAATATATGCACAGTTGGTAACTTTTTGCAGGCATGATATCTTAGAATGATAAACTCTACATTTGCCTGCAAAATATAATGATGTCAATTAATCAACGAATTAAAATCAGAGTGCAGTACCATAATCAAAAAGTTCCCTGAGTTGAATGAAACTGCATAAGAGCTCATTAAAAATGAGAAATTAAATATTCAAGTACAAAGTTTAGTTGTTTCACTGTTTAAGCTCAAGAAAAAAAATGTGGATGCATTGAACAGATTTTTTTTAATTTGATTTTCTTTCTCCTCTTGGCACCAAAAATGTAAAATACAAGATGAGTTTCACTGAGGTCACATATTAGCAGAGATAAAAATTTCGTGATGAACCAAGTCCAAATTTAACACATCACTGTATGTAGCTTGTTTGACCACACAGAAAAAAAAAGAAAGAAATGAGGACCCATTTAAATGTGTTCCTTCCCAAGGCTTGGCTCAACTTTCAATCATTTGATATTTGTATTAGTAAACCAGCAGCTGTGGTGTACCTGTCTTGGTTGCTGTTATTCTTGTTGTTGTTTTCCTCATTGCTTCACGACCATCGTTTGGCCGAGACTTGTACACTGGTCAATACTATGGTTGCCTTTCGGTTTGACCGTGTGTTTTTGACGTTTTGCAGAAAGGGATGAAAAAGAAGAAGAAATCAAAATCAACTCCATCAGGGGGCAGGGTGGTAATGCGGGATCAGCCCCCAGCAGTGGAAAGACTGGTGGAGATTCTGGCAGATTTGACAGAAACCTCTCTTCCTTACGCCCTGGATGCATTCAAGAACCCTGCTGATGTCTACCCTGGTCACCACCACCATGCCCCCATCCAACGGTACCCTCATGGCCCTGCAGCTCCAGTACCACAGCACCACTACAACAGGAACCACCAGCACTACCACCACCAGCAGGTGCGTATACACAGTCCAATCAACACTCCACTCTTATCCTCGTTGTCAACTTGACTCTTCTCAGAAAGTCTTTCTGAGGAGGATCTACTAATAACAAGCCAAAAGAGAATACAGTGGCCCCCCGCCTAACAGACCTCCTGTGTAAGGGATTTTCGCCAAACAGACCAGCTCTGCAAGCAGTTTTTCCTCCCGCCCAACAGACAAAATCCACCAAACAGACTTCTTTTGGTTTAAAATTAGTGTTGAAAAGTGAAATTTTCAATTTTTATGTAATTGAATTCATGTAAAGGACTTTTTGTCTAACAGACTTGTCCCTTGCACAAATCAAGTCCATTAGACGGGGGTTGACTGTAATATATTTCAATGGCAGACAATTTTCCTTCTCTTATGGTTGGGGTGATGTGATTGTTGAAGGAACCATGACTTTTATTTTTTTATTTTACTTGAGACACTGTTTTGCAAGTTAATCATCAACACCAGCAGCAGCAAAAAAAATGGCACTGTTGTGAAGATAGACTTCTCTGCAGGTGTAATGAATTCTTGTTTCAATGATGAATACAGGGAATGAGGAGACCAGCACGCCCTTCATTCAGGCACCATGGAAGGCCCATGTCTTACAGGCGAGGCAAGTGGAACCATCCACCACCACCACCACCACCACCTTATATGCATGATAATTAGATAATGAAGGATGATTCAAAGGACAAGAGGTGAACATAGCTCACCACGCAGAGACTCTTCCAATATGTGACTCAAGAGAACCATTCTTAAGGGAAAAACAATTGCAGTTTCAAGTCTGTTTTTTTTTTTTTAGATTGAGAAAATTTCCTTCTGATTCACACCTGTTAGATTTCAAATGATGGATATACTGCTGGAGAGCAAATACAGTGAAATACCATACAATCCTCAAGCTTTTGTTACTTTTCAAAGTTTGTTAAATCAAGATTTTGCTTATACAAAGTCACCACTTATCATTTTCAAATACAGTACTGTATTTAAGATTATTGGGAGTGAGATCATTTGTTGAAATGCATGTCAAAGTATGGCCAACTGATGGAGGTGAAATGTCAAAAATGTATTCAGAAATTATTTTTTCATATACTGGAATACATTGTTTGCAGGATCACATGCTTTAGATGTATTTTCAAATTTGACTTGAATCAGTACCAGAGTTGAAAACTGAATCATTTCAATCATGAAATCATCTCAAGTATGGAAACTATCCAAAACCTCAACGAAAATGTCCTCAAATGGTGATTTTGGGAATAATGCTATGAAAAAGTCAGCATCTGTAAAACTTTACATAGTTGATTGAAAAAATCCTAGAAAGAGGAGCACAAAAGCAGGTTGTTTTTGATTATGAATTTGAGTGGAAATATTTATTATGACATGCATTTAGTATTTTTGTGCATATAAAAACTCAAATTTTTCAAGCGAATTCGTAATTGAAAAATTCAAAGGCAGGCAAGAAAATTGAAAGAAAATTACAGTTTTTTAAAGGCAGAAATTTCAAGTTCAACTGTCGTAATTCAAATCTGAACAACAAACACATCGGTCACATTCGTAGAGGTGAAAATTTCTCTGTTGCAAATTGTTGTATGGTACACTACCATTTTTGTCAACTGAATAAAATAATCATGAACCACTTTGAAACCTGATTCAGACGAGCTTGATTATTGCGTAAAGAAATCCACAAAGATTGTGGATTAATAATGTAAAGCTTTCACGGAATGATTTCTCTGGAACCATCAAAATAAAATTTGAGGAATGTTTTGCTAGCATTCCAAAATGGCATACAGGATGTATATTGTGCATGATGTTGGATGGGCATCCTGTTGGTACCCTACCCGAAAATGCGGAAATGTTTATTGCTACGGACGTAGAGCGACATCTGTGGAGCGGATTTCTTCACCAAGGCTAGACACTATCAAAGCAATAAACAGAGGACGCTCTTGAAATAATCAGAGATTGTTGTTGAGGCTTTGTACTTCAAAAACTCCATTTAATGTTACATGTAATGTATGTGAAAATGAAAAGATTATTCAACAGATTGAATCTCCTTATTGAAAAAGAATGAAAATTCTCTCTTTTGTACAGGCAAAGCATGTAAGTCCATTCTCTGGCAGAACAAAGGAAATTCAAAAATCTAGAAAAATACAAAATTGCGAAAGACGTGATGGCTGCCATTTTGATTGTACCATTAAGAGATTTCAGCCAAATTTGAATGCAGAGTTCTCCCAGGTATTAATGTTGTTTTTTTTTTCCTTTTGAAGCTTGTGGAATGCTGGAATGAGGCATCAACATTTCTTGGATGGTCAAACTGTTGTGTGTCTGTCAACAATTATGCAGCTTTAAAAATGAAACAATATCTTTCAAAATTGCGAATCAAGAAGGGAATAAGTGAGCTTGAATGACATTTTTCTCCATCAGCTGAAAACTGAAGGGTTTTTTTTTACAGATACAGAACTTTGATGTGTCTCATATAGTCTCAATGATATTCTCTTAGAATTTTTCCTTTTTGGGGGATATTCACATGAGGGGCAGTTGCTTGCCACCCATAAACTACTGAACTCCCCTTGGAATCAAAATGAATTTTGAAAAAAAATTTGAAGAATAGATCAAGTGTGAGGGAATTCCATCACCTCTTTATTAACCCCAAGGAAGTTCCCCGGCCCTGAAATGAGTAAACGTTTCTCGTTTCTGTAACATGATTTTTATTGGGTTTTTAAACGCACAGCAATCAATGAATCTACCAATCAACTCATCATTGGAATTTTCTAATTGGCGAGGACATTGGCATTGCTTTCAATCCACTCAGTGTAATACGAAATTTTCGTCCCAACCGAGGGCACTTCTGTGCGGCAGATAACATCAAAAGACATGTCTGAACCATGCAATTCTTCTGGTTCATTGGGATTTTCTTCACGAGTCCGTGGACAACTTGGTCTAGAATTTCCCGTAGTTATGCTGGTGTAAGAATTGATGGCTATCTGAACAGCCTTGGGGCCAAGTTCTGTCACCACTGGACCTCCTTGGTCACCCTGCAAGCAGAAATTGAGAGACACAGAATTATGGAATTCTTCATTTATTGATGTACCATTTATACAATACAGTGGGGCTTTGGGTAACAAACCTTTTTGGATAATAAACTTTGGATTTTAGCCTTGGCTGCCCTATTGGATAACAAAACCATGACTTGGTTTACAAACTTCAATTGCACAGGCAGGCATCCCACATGTGCCCACAATTGACACTATATCTATATGTTTCCAGTATATATTTCTTGGTCTTCCACACGGTCGAGGTCTTGGGTGAAAAACAGATTCTTGTACGCTTTTGACTTCCATTTCTGTTATATTTTGAAATAAATATTCTGTAATACTATAGTCATCCCACTTTCCTTCCAACTGAAGAAAATTGGGCTTAGTGCAGGAAGGATTTTACAGAAATGCAGACCGAGTAATTGAAGGGTGTGAAGAGATTGACTATGAGGCCCAAATACAAGCATTCAAAAATTATGAGTAAGAAGTTTAAAATGGTTCTCACTATAATGCTGAAGGTACAGCTATAGTAACTTAAAAAGTGAAATATTTGTCAATCCATTTCCTGGAATCTACACCCTTTTTAATGTAGTATATGCACTGGTGGTATCTTGCAGTTTGACATAGAATAATTGAACCATCCTGCAATTTGACAGTCAAATAACTACTTGCAGGGAGCTTGACTTGCAATTCAACCTCTGCCTGAGAATCTGACTTGCTTATTGGCCACTTTTTTCTGTTCTCAATATTACGAAGTTTCACAGAATCGGATTTCTTTGCAATTTAACCCTAGTCTGGCTCCTGCTGGCAACTGATTTGCGACCAATTGCAAGGTACCACCTGCACCAGATTTTTCATTCAAAACTTGAACAACATGTACTCAATCAATTCATTAGTCAGAGAAGAAAAGAAATTACAGTATTTAGATTTTCTCAGCGCAGTTGAAATTGATCTGATCTATTGCTTGGTGATAATTTACAGGTAATTTAGCAGATAACACAAAAATTTCGTTGGCATGCAAATTTGAAAACTCACCGAGCATCTCCCGTGGGTCCCATGGCCGGAATAGCAGACTTGTTCTTTGTATCGAAAGAGACTGGATCCACAGTTCCAGAAATACTCGCATGTTTCTCTGGATCTCACGTCGGTCTCGACAAAACGCAGGTCTTCACTACGAACTGTAAGGAACGCATTTCTTCAGAACCTTTCACAAATATCCCCCGACCTCTGAGATAATTGAAAGAGATCCTGCACGATGCTAAAAACACAAACAAGCTAACATTAGTGTTATTAGTCTTTTAGGAATGTCTGATTTGCTTATTTGCAGTACAGTATGTACAATACATGCAGCATCACTTGATAAGTCAAGGTGAAGTCATGCGATTCTACATGTAGCACATGTGTCAAGAAGAAAGACAAGGAAGAAGAAATCCCTTCTGCAGGAAAATGTCTCAAATGATTTTCTCTTGATCACTATCCTCGCAATTTTTTCCAAGATCAATTGGGAAGAAACCAAATAAAATTTAAAATGAATAACATGGAAAAGAATGCAACAGTTTAACTCGCCATTGTCCTCCGTGCTGCCCCATCCAATGATGATGACCGAAAACCCCTCCGGGTATACTTCATCTGGGTTCAACGGCGCAAGAAGAATGGGTGAGATGTACTCGGTAAATACGACTTCTTTCACCATTTTTACCAGTGCCACGTCATGGAATAAAGAAGGCGGTTTGTAATTAGGGTGAACAATCACGCCATTTTTAATGTCCTCTTGAACCTCCAGAAATTCTCCGGTTAGGCATTCATCGCCTTGGGATCTGGTCAATCCCCCCAGGGTGTAGAGAATCCTTTTGGTTGTCACAGCTTTTCCTAGGCCCTTGTCCCTTGAATCAGAGAGATTAAAAAGAAAGCGGTGATCACGAATGTGGACAAATGCTGGAGCATCCTGAATCAAATCAGAACACATGATGCTGGCTGAATTGAAGAAAAGAATCACATGCAGTTGTACATCAGTGATTCAGAACATCGAAGAATGCTAAAATAAAAAAACAGTACAATACTGTACGGTATTTATTAGAGAGAGAGCGCTTTATTTTGAACATTCAGTGCCATGACACGAGCCAAAGAACAAATTTCCAAATACAGTATAATTATGATGAATGATGAAATGCAAGGATGGAAGAGACAAACTTTAGAGATGTTTTCATTGGAGCTTCTCAGCAAAAGTATTGGTGAGAAAAACTGTTGGAGAAGCTGGAAAAAGAGTGTTTGCATTATTTTATTTCTTTAATCAATTTTGACTTCTTTTCACTTCATCTGTACTACAAATGGTTGCATGTGCAAGGAAAAAAAGAAATGTCGCTCATATACCTCAAGGGAAATTATTTATCGTTTTTGTGAACATTCCGTCATTTTTGGATACAAAAAACCTTATTTACGGTGTATTGCTGCCCCCAAAAAAAAACCTTTCATGCCAAGTTTTTTGATCTACCTGGGTATTTCAAATTTTTGGCATCAAGACAGATGTAAAATATTATCCATGATGACTTTAAGGTCTTGTTTTTTTGAGCGTTATATTGAGCCATTCCCCAAGATTAATGTGATTGATTAAAGACCTCTTGACAAGAACCTTTAGCAGCTATTAAAGGTTTTGCAAAAACTTGATGAGCAAAACTGCCTGAATGTGTGAATAATTTCTTTCTGCCTCTGAGAAAAACACATTTGCGCTTATTCATCAGCAGGTCACACAGCTGCCAATTGACAATTTTCATTTGACCCTCTCCTGCTCTGGAAAGTTTTCTGTACATTTTTGAGACAAATTTACTCATAAAAAAAAGACATGTAAGTCTCAGTAAGTACTTT